GCAACCAGAGGCTAAGACAGCAATGCATTAAAGCACGAAATAAAGAAAATTGGGTGCTGGGATATAAAACCACATGTATTTATGCTGACAGTGTCAGCATAAAACACTTATATTATCCTTTATCTTTATCACAGGTTAGACCCAACTTGGACTACGTTGTACCAGTCTGGTTGGCACACTACAGGACACAGACCGACTCTTGAGAAGAGAGAGAGATTGAAGACAAGGCCAATACCTGTATCAGACTTTTCCTATAAAGGCAGATTGAAGAGCCTCAGTCTGCATGGAGAGATGCAGAACAAGGTTGTATTATGATAGAGGTGTTCAAATTAATTAAGGACACAAACAAGGGGGAATATAAACAGGTTCTATAACTGTCAAACAGCAATAAAGTCTACAGGCTATTGGGAAAATATTACTTTAGGAATGATACAGGGAAGTACTGATTTGGGAATAGGGATGTAGACAAATTGAATGGACTGCCAGCTAGCATTATTAAGAAACTGTTTAACAGATTTCAAGAAAAGATTAGATATGTATATGGGTGAGAGGGAGCAAATTTAAATGGAACTAGCCTTCAATGTGCAGTGCTCCCTAATTATAAAGTTTAAACTGAGGATTAATATATTCATTCAAGTGAGAGCGAGGAGTTTGATATACCTACATTTTGCATACACATGGTAACACCTCTTTTGGAAAGTAAAAAATTGAAAATCTAACACATCTACATCTACTATCATAGTCAGTGTAAGATGCATTACAGCATATATAATGTGTGTGGTGCACTACATGATGCCCTTACCACATGCCCTGGTGATGGAATCTGGTCTGGTGACCACCTGTTACTACTGTACAGTACTTTATTTAACCCCCCTGCATTACTCATACATTATCTCTTGTTGATGGGGGGGGGGGGGGGTACACCCACCAAGAAAACTCTTCAGGTATAGGGAATGATTCAAAACTCCTGCGTGTACACAGGGCTCACATCCTGTTTCTCAGGACTCCAGTAAACAGACACCATCTGGAAAAAACTTATGTACAACCCTCCTGGCTGCAGTCTCACTACTGCCAGAGTGACTAAGGCTGGTGCATGTAGCAGGAGCTCGCAGGAGCTCGCAGGAGCTCATGCAGGTCGGGGCCACAGTACCATTTAATAATGATGAATAATATAAGTAACTGCACTTATTTTATGATTATAGCATCACATACGATACTGACTGCAATAAAAATGATGGACTGTACAGAGCAAGTACCCTTTGATCATGTACATAATATCTAAGTCATCTGCAGAGTTCAAGATAGATAGGTATCGAGCGAACATTGCGTGACCTAGAAGTGCCGCTATGGATAATCTAAGTGTGATGCCCGGGATTCAGATATCAGTCGGCACAGTGCTAGTTGTGATGTTCACAGCAGGAGGCAGACATTCGCAGAACAACCCAGGTTTTGTGCATCTACACATTCATCCAACATGACCTCATGTTCCTTTCGAAAATAATCTTGTGGAAAATGATTCATATTCATGATTTAGTGACAGTAACCTGATAATACAGCAGTAGTGTTATGGCCAGATTTAACAATATGCATCATATACTAAATGGCATTTTTCTGCATCAGGGGACATCATCTGCAGCCATCTTCTGGTTGTAGTGTATGGCTCTATACCAGGAATGGCCAAACCGTGGCTCTTTGACCTTCAATATGTGGCTCGAGAAAAATTATAGAGAATTCAAATATTGTAGACATTTTGACCTGAATTCAGAGTAAGAAATCTGCAGCTACATAAAAGCGTTCCAATATCTACAAAAGGGTGTCAGTATCAGTTAAACGAGTCAAAATCATCAATAAATAGTAAACAGTGTTAGAGCCAAATAACAAAACTTTAGCCACTAATACTGTAGCACAAACACCACCTTCACACCACGCTACAGAGGCACCTCTATCAGATCAGCCGATGTTGCAGTCAAAATGCAAAATTATTTAAACAATTCTATTGTATTCAGCTTAGCTCCTGACAAATCAATATACAGTACAAGACAACCCACAACTGGCAATGTTGTTGTTGTTGTTTTCACTCGATATAAATGTGAAAGAAGAGATGTTGGACTTAGTGGCATTTAAAATAAACAACTCGTGGTGAAGACAGTAAAAATGAGCTTGACGGAACCTTAATAAATGCCAATGTTCCACTGAATAAACTTGTCAGTGCTGCAACAGATAGAGCACCTCCAACAGTTTAAAAAAGTGCATAAATATTATTGAATAATAATATGAATAATATGAGGTGAATAAATATTATTGCATTTAATATGCATTTTTTAAATTATATAAAATTGTTGTACAAAAGGTATATGTAACAACAAAAATGTAAGTAAATTTTGTTCATGTCTTGAGGCTCTCAAACTTCGGAGCTTTATCATTTGTGGATCTTACAAAAAGCGAATTTGGCCACTCTTGCTGTATACTATGCTAAGATTTCATTACCATACCCACCAGAATTACTTTGTGATTTGTTATGGTTAATAAAAATATATATAACTATATATGATGTGCATAAAGTGTAACAAAAGCAAAAACCTATATTTTATTCTTCAAAGAACATAATATTTTCCCCATATTAGTGAAATCTGTGCGTACCTACGATACAAATAACATTGCCACCCCAATGCATCACTGCACATAAAAAACAAGGCATTACAAATAAAAATACAAAGAAAAGAAAATAACCCCATTGCATGTACTAACAACTTGGTGCAAAATGTGTGTGCGCCAAGGCTGACCTTGGATCATGGCTACAAGAGAACAGCATAACTGGCCAGACCAGGTTAATGGTTCGTTACGGTGTACAAAAATGTGGATAGCTATATATAACTATACTGTATGTGTATACAGTATAGTGAAATGACAGCAAAAACCACTTATTATTCTAGGAAAATAAATATTACACATGTAACTAAAAAAGTGCACTGTATTTCTGAGCATAGCAATGTCCCACAAATTTAATTACAGTACTGTATATAAATTCTTCAAATTACACACTATTGAATAATATTATTGCAAACACTAGAGAAAAAACAAATCAGAAACATTGAAATACTGTATTTTAAAATGTCTGTGGCAAACTCCAAACCCTTGGAGGCACGAGGTAAGCATAAACGGGTGAATGCTTGCTCGGCGCCTGTGAATTTGGGAAATTTCCTCCCTCCATCAAGACCAAACAAGGTCACATACAATATTTTTTTTTGTTAGTTTCTTGTGATCAGAAAACGCACTTCAACAATATCGGAAAGAACAAATTTGGGAGGAGGAGGGGTGGGAGATGAATAATTTTTTTTACATGCACCACAGGGCTGTTATATTAAATGGATGTACAGTACATGAATTAAGGGCAATGATGAAATGCACACATACAGTGTAGATCTTGTTCCTGGTATAGACACAAAATGACTATTCCAGAAAAAAAAAAAAAAACATAAACCAAAACAAATATGGGACACCTGGCAACATCCGACTGCCCACAGCAGAATATTCACTAGCCACCCACAGTGCAACTACCTTCAACAGACAGCAAATACATTTTTCAGTGAACCCCTGGAGAACTACAGTCAAGCGTGCACCTAGATTCAAGGTCGAGTCAGGAATCAAGTGACCATACAGACAGCCTTGCTACTGACTAGCGAGGCCTCAATAAGCCTAAAAGGTTTCCTGTCCAACAATGTGGCAACAGTGAACAATGGTGAAAAATTTGATACAATAAAATCGTTGATAATTTAGGATATATCCAGCCCAGTTAGTATTTTTACTGAGGTTGCACTGTATGGTATTCACAAATTTGATTTAACATTTAATTTTCCCAGATTTATTGTCTGGTAGACCTACCTCATACTTGTGTAATTTTATAACAATGAATTCTTGAAGAATAGTAATAATTATTAACCGTCTGGTACAATACAGTGAGACAATATTATGTTATTTGCCAAAGATGCAGGGTTGGGTTATTTGTAATCATCCATGTTATTAGAACTTATTCCCTGCATAAATATAGAATTATTAAAAAGGTCTGGCTAGCGGAGAAATTACGTGATTTACGGCAAGAATCAATTTACAAAGGTAAACCTCGTGTATGATTTACATCTATATAAAGTGTGAAAACATTACTTTTCATACATAATTTATAAGATCATATTTTCAGCCACATTATTGTGACTCATCAGTTGCATAATTAATAATATGGCTTCATTACTCTGATGGGCCCCTTAAGTCACAGTATCCCACATCTACAGCTAGGCAGGGAGCAACTTAAGTGGCTGGATAACCTAATACTAGTACAGTTCTATGCATTCACTGGGAAACAAGAACCCTAGTCCTTAATACAGAGGCAGCATACCGAATTCAGTATTTGCACCAGCTGGTGAGACCACTGCATGGTGAAAATACTCGCTACACTATTTAGTAAACAAAATAATCCCAATTACAGTCCCTTCTATGCATGTGCATATGGCAAAAATGTTCCTTAATGAATGAACTGGTTTAATAAATGTTTGATAAATACCAATGTTCACTTCATGAAGTAAACTGTTTATTCTTATTAATTTATCTATTTACAGTGTATAGGGAAGTAATATTCACTAGTCGATTACTGAATTTAAATCACGAACTAAACCACAAAATATTTAACATACAAATGAAAGCCTATGTTGCATAAAATGAAACCTGTAAGTATTCTAGAAGCTTCCTTTATAAGAGGGAGTTAGGCTTCATGTGCTTCATTTGTACTTTGGAGGAAACAAATGCAACACACAAATGTTACATATTATCTCAAGCAGCACGTGAAGTACTTTCTAGCATCAAACGATTCTCATCTCAAGGTAAACATATATGCACTAAGAAACGTTGATCGATCGCAATGTTGCAGGCTTTCATTCCTTTACGGCCTATAACCTAACGCAAGTATCTACAGCCTGCACACTACTTAGAAACACACAACTAGTACTTACTCATTAACAGTGGGCGACTCCTCGATGATCACTACATCGTCATCGGAATTATAGGACAAATCATTTTCCAAATCCATTTGTTGTGGTTCAGCCATCTTTGCACTGGAGGCGAAGGCTCAGCAACTAGCGAGTCCAACGTGGCGACAGAAGGGCTGGGCTCACCTGGCAACGTATGCGAGTCTACGTGCATCACCAAAACATTGCGCTGGGTGTGTAGGCTCTTTAACTAGATTTTGCTTCAAGTCGTCATCAGAGCCGAGGTCATATGTGTACTGGAACGAGTTTATACACTTAACCAAAACATTGAGCTGGATGTGCAGGCTCGTAAACTAGTAAATATTATCTCCCATAATAGGGAGCTAGCTCATCTGATTTTAAGAGCGAGTCTATCCGCCTAGTATGAAGCATTCAAGTTCTCAGCTGATCCGTCTCATTCATTATTTGATTCATACAGTACATAATTATTTATTTATAAATTTATCACGTGTTTAAGTACAAAACATTCACATTCATTCAGTGAGTACAAATTAATCACGTGTTTATTTTCGTGATATACACACATTTATAAATTTATATACAAGAAGGTACATTGGGTTTGTGAGGATACATAGCATGTTATTTACAATCTTTTAAAGCCACTAGTAAGCTCAGCGTTTCGGGTAATTTAATAATTGTCGTTAGTGGCGTTCCGTCTTTCTAGTATTTTGTTTTTTTCATGTAACGCTTTGAAACTACTGACGGTTTTTGCCTCCACCTTCTCACTCAACTTGTTCCAATCATCTGTTTGTAAAACCGAGCTCTCTAATAATGCTTCTTCGGTAACATTGTTTCGTTAGTTTGAACCTATGTCCACTTGTTCTTGAAGTTGCAGTTTTCAAAAATTCTTTGTCAATTTTGATGATCGCTTTGTGGGGAGTGGTCATATCCCCTATTTTTCTTCTATCTTCTTTAGCTTTGGGATATTGAACTCTACTAACCGGTCCATAGAATTACCCAAGTCTACCCAAATCCTGCTAGCATTCAAGTTCAAGTTCAAGTTCAAGTATGTTTATTGAGATAAGCAATAAATACATCTCAAAGGGATAGAGTAGCTTAGGCTATTTCTACCCCCTCTACTTCAAGTCCCTCAAGGGGTGCACAAATTCAGTGAGTACAAATAGACAAATAACATTACAAGAATCCCATTTAACATTGCAGGTTTATATAGTAAGCACAGCATATAATAGTTACACTCTCGGGGCAAAATAATTGTAGCTCCTAAGTATACTGTCTATCATACCATTATCACACATCCAAACAATTTGATGTGGTACACTATTTATTTCCTTATTTCTATAGTTTTCAATAAGTTGACACTCTAATACATAATGTTCTAAGGTGTGGGCGTGAGGCATACTACATAATTTACACTCCTTATCTTTTTCATTGACATCAACACCGTATTGCCAGATATATTTATATCCTAATCTTAATCTCATGTAAATTGAATCCTTCCAAGTAGACTTTCCTTTACCATAAGTGAAGGACGAATTTGTATTTATTATTGAATAATTCTTAAGTGTGTTACTCCTGTCCACCAATGCCATTCTCTTTATCATTTCTTCACCCTCCTGGATCATCTTGATTCTTGTTTTTATTTGTTTCAAGGTTAACTGACATACAACATCAACAAGAGTTTTTTCAGTGGCTCTCTTTGCTATGTCATCAACTACCTCATTCAACAGTATTCCCACATGTGAAGGGATCCACATGAATCTTACTTTATACCCAGTTTTTTCTAGTCTCTTAACATTCTCTCTACACTCTGTCACAATATTCTGATATACTGGGCGTCTGCTATTTAAAGACTCTAACGCTCCTCTGCTGTCAATAAAGAAGCAAGCATTTTTACCACATTTGACTACTTCCTGTAATCCTGCTAATACTCCTTGGAGTTCAGCCTGCGTTGAAGAGACATTGTCAGTTAAGCGGCGTCCAATAACAGTATCTACAGTGCCGATGTCAGTGTACTCCCTGATCAGGACTCCACATCCTGCCTTCCCATCCCTAGCTACTGACCGATCACAATATACATGTAGAGTGTTTTCTGTAGGCAGTTTTCTAATTATACAATCATATGTTGCCCTCAACTCTCCTATTTCATACATACTTTTTTTCTTATGCAAGGGAGTAATTACTACATCTACATTACAATCCTCCCATGGTGGTGTAAATTTTCTCTTGGGCACAGCAATACACTCTGTAATAACATCATACTTTATAACATTATAACATAATTTATTCATATACAGTACTGTATACTCTCTTCATCATACACTGTTCACTACTTCCCACCTTTTGAACCGAGAGGATTAATTCATTAGCTCCCCCCACCTCTCATTAATCTAATGGCAGAGGCTACATTTATCTCTTCAATTCTATCCCCAATACTCTGCAGATTCAACTCCATCCTCATTATCTCAATCATAGCATTTCTTGGGCATCCTAAGATAATTCTCATGGCTTCATTTTGTACCTTCTCCAACTTGCCCATCCTACCTTTACCAAAACAAGAAATGACAGGTGCAGCATAATCAATAAGAGATCTTACAGTACTCAAGTATATCATTCGTAGCACAGGGACTCCCACTCCCTTTCCACAGCATGCCAAGGCCTTCAGAGGTTGTAATCTCTTCCGACATTGACCCAACAGTCTGTTCATCTCAGCTTCCAAACTCTCATGGGTATATCCAACGTATATGCCTAAATATTTATATATATTAACTCTCTCTCTATTTTTACTGTTTATTTTCAATATACTGTAATGGGCCTCTGACTTCTACATTCAAACTTAGTTTTGTTTTCATTAACCACCAGTCCCCCTGCTAGCATTACGTAAGTAATGAAGAAATATGGTACTGTACACAGTATTTACTCACTATAATGTTGGTGCTGAATGCAGAACATGATCAAACTAATTTTACCTCTGAAATAATCTAATTTCATAACGAAATTAGAAGTAAATATGTAGCAGGTGACGCCATCGGAAGTCAAAGGTCCAAGCGACAATGTTATGGAGTGACTTGTCCAAGATATATGATCGCCTGGAGTGTGTTTGCTGCCATATCAGCCTCCTGTACAGAGGGATTCAGTCGTCGCACTTTGCTCAAATTGTCGCAAATTTAATTGGTGATATTAACAAGTAGAATGCGTATTTATAATAATATCTTTCATAAACAGCCATGAAATATTCTAATATTTATTAAAAAAAAATGTGTCTGGAAGTTAAATCAACTCCATAGGACAATAATTTTGTTATATAGATACTAACGTTATTCATTGGTATGCGTTCGCTACTTAAACTACTCATGTCCTTTTCGTTCATAGAACACCGAACCCTACACACTCTGATATATTGCTTAATTAACAGAGATTCACAAATAAGATTATATTTGTATATGTTATCAGAAAGGCAGAGATAAAATAGTTTTTGTGAATACATCAGAGATTATACCTTATTAGATAGATAGGGTGGTTATAGATAGGAGCTGCCTCGTATGGGCCAATAGGCCTTCTGCAGTTACCTTTGTTCTTATGTCTTATGTTCTTATGTTCTTAACTGATAATGTCTCTTCAATGCAGGCTGAACTCCGAGATGTATTAGCAGGATTGCAGGAAGTAGTCAGATGTGGTAAAAATGCCTGCTTCTTTATTGACAGTAGAGGAGCATTAGTCTTTAAATAGCAGACGCCCAGTTTACCAGAATATTGTGATTGTGTAGCGAGAATGTTAAGAAATTAGAAAAAACTGGGTATAAAGTAAGATTCATGTGGATCCCTTCACATGTGGGAATACTGTAGAATGAGGTAGTTGAAGTAGTGAAGAGAGCCACGGAAAAAACTCTTGTTGATGTTGTTTGTCAGATAACTTTGAAACAAGTAATCAAGATGATCCAAGAGGGTGAAGAAATGGTAAAGAGAATGGCAATGGTGGACAGTAGTAACACACTTAAGAATTATTCAATAATAAATACAAATTCGTCCTTCACCTATGGTAGAGGAAAGTCTACTTGGAAGGATTCAATTTACATGAGATTAAGATTAGGATATAAATATATCTGGCAGTACGGTATTGATAGCAGTGAAAAAGATAAGTTATGTAAATTATGTAGTATGCCACACGCCCACACCTCGGAACATTATGTATTAGTGTCAACTTATTGATAACTATAGAAATAAGGACATAAGTAGTATACCACATCAAATTGTTTGGATGTGTGAAAATGGTATGATAGACAGTATACAGTACAGTACTTAGGAGATACAAGAATTTTGCGCCAAGAGTGTAACACTTATATGCTGTGTTTACTATATTAACCTACAATGTTAAATGGGATTCTTGTACTGTGATTTGTGTATTTGTTCTCACTGAATTTGTGCACCCCTTGAGGGACTTGAAGTAGAGGGGGGGTAGACATAGCCTAGGGTATGTTACCCCTAGCAGTGTATGCATAAATTTGTATTTGAAATTGTATATGAGATTTGTGTACACTGTACAGGTTCCTGAGCCTATTGGGCTCTATCATATCTACATTTGAAACTATGTACTGTCTGTAGTCTGCATCCACCACATCACTGCTTAGTGCATTCCATTTGTTAACTACCCTGACACTGAAAACGTTCTTTCTAATGTCTCTGTGGTTTGTTTGAGTACTAAGTTTCCACCTGTGTTCCCTTGTTCATGTTTTGCCCATGGGGCCCATGAACATGGGTCATCTTCAGTGTCACTGGCTACTGGAGATTGCTTAAATTTGAGACTTGTCTTTGATAACACAGTAGCCAGCTTCCTGTTGCTATTGAGGACAGTAGAGAGATAGTGGCCCCTCAGGTAAATTTAGGTGAAAACACATTCTAAGCAAAATGAAAGATACCATTCCTGCTCTGTTTTCTCCGCCTTCTGTGGGCAAAGTTTAGAGTGTAATTTTAAGTTCAACTTGTCACACGATAGATATTTACCGGTAGAACCTGACTATAAAGAGATTTTGCTATCCATTTTTTCTCAATTTTATTATATGTTTTCTCTTCTCAGTGGTTATCTCAAGCTTTATATTTGGAGTAATGAGTTGTCTGTTTGTCTTCTGATCAACTATTTTTAATGAAAATTTTCTCAATGAACAGCTGAAATTGCCCACAGAATGCACAGTAGATCTAAACTTAGCATGAGAATACAGTGGGGCCTCGATTTACGATGGTAATCCGTTCCCAGAGACGGCTCGTAAGTCGAAGCGATTTTTCCCATAAGAAATAAAGAGAATTGAATTAATCCGTTCCCCACCCTCCAAAATATTAACTTACAAATACATTTTATACTGAATACAATTTTTTTCTCTAACTACAATTCAGTACATATGTTTATCTTACCTTTATGGAGGACTCTTGATGGCGTATGGAAGATGGTGAGGGGTGGGGAAGAAGGAGAGTGTTACTGTTTGGAAGGAGAGTCCCCTTCCATTATAACATCAGGCAGTGAGGACGTCTCTGGGGTACACACACTGGCACGTTTTGCCTGCATATCACTAGGACCTGCTTCTGGCTCACTGCTTGATTTTCTCGCTAGAAATCGTTCAATTGAAGATTGTTTTTCCCTTCTTTCCAACACTTGTCTGTAGTGAGGCATCACATTGTCATTAAAAAGATCAATGCAAAGGGCTGTTACAGCTTTATCTGGGTGATTCTTTTCAGCAAAACTTTGCAGTCCTTCCAATACTGCACACATTATCTTAATTAATGAGGAAGGGACATCCTCTAATGCCGCCTCCTCCTCCTCTGAAGATTTATTGTACTGCCTAGCTAGTTCAACAACACTAGTACCATTTTCATGTTTACATATGACGTCTTGTTTTTCCTCTATGGTCATTCTTACATGTCTTTTCATATGTTGAACCTTACCACTGACTTTCCTGGGACCCATGGCATGATGTATAATAATAAGTCTTATGTTCAAAAAGCAAAAAATCACCACAAAAACAGAATTTCTTATAGGCGTGATCGTCACTAATTGGGCAGCTCTAGTAAATTGAGGCAGGTCGGCCTGCGTGACCAAGAACCACACGCTCGGTCGACCCAAACATGTACCAACAAATATCGTTAGTCGACGACACTATCGTAAGTCGAGTCACATTTTTTTATCAAATTTACATCGTAACTCAAAATTATCGTAAGTCGGGGCAATCGTAAGTCGAGGTGCCACTGTACAGCAGACTGGAGAAGCATGGGTTGGCTGCAGGGTACTAGTGAACATAAAAGTAACACCTTACTAAACCCACCTCAACCCTACTCAAAGGTAGTAATGCTTCATGCAGGTACTAGTATATGATGGAAGACAGTGGAGCAGGTTTGTATAGCATATTGAGACTAAACTACGACTTGGGAGGCTCTTGGTAAGATCTAATGTTCATAAATGGGGAAACTTAAGTATAGATCATATTCTCAGAGTGAATAATTGTTTCCCCTCTTTTTTTCTTTTTTTTAGATGTGTGAAGTTGCTGAGGCATTCATTTCTGCCTCGTGCATTTCTCGTGTCAACGGCATCAGAACAAAATGCAGTTGACATGAAAAAGTTAAGAGCATTAATAAACTTGTTTACAATATAGTACAGTACTTCATCCACTTGTATTACTGTACAGTACTTTAATTGTTTTGTAAATTTTCAGAATATGTGATGGCAGTCGATAGCCAGATGTGTGGATACCCAAAAGCCAGGTGGTGCTGGTTTTAAAATGCAAATCCTCTGAAGCTGAAAGTGCCAGCACTCCCAAGAGGGGTCAAAGTCACTCGGAAGATAATAAAATCAAAGGAATTTTGAATACTTTGGGTTAAAGCTTTGCATGTTTTGTTTTTTTAATTTGCAATTAAATTTTTGTTATAAGATGAAATATTATTATGTGTATTTTTTATGTGTGCATTTTCATAGTATAAAACCCATTAGTGTAATGATAATTTAATTTTGATGTGAATTTTTATTTTCAGAACTTGTTGTATCATGTCTGTGTGTGAAAAATTTCTAGATATTTGATATAACTTTAAATTAAATGAAGGTATAGGTTGTTCAGATTGGTTTACATGAGATAAATATTTGGAAAGAATTCATGGTACAGTATACAGTGCAGTACTGTAAAAATATGGATAAAACACCAATTCTGCAGAATTGAAAGGCATTAGGAGGTTTGCTTGTTGGCTGTAGGTTTATAATGGATCCTCCAAAATTGAGTTTATATTGCTCCAATCATCTCCACAGATTTAAAATTTCATTGAAACACTAGAAGCGTGTCCGCAGGATAGCGAGTAAGTTTGTTCCCGATGTCTCGCCGGTCCTTCACCTCCATGGTACTTTTGTGGCGGGCACGTTGCAGGTCACTACCTAACTGGGTTTCCACTTTTCTTCTGTTAGCTCTGGTTCTCATCTTTCTCAATCTTTCCTTCTTCGTTAACCTGCCCTTGAATCTCGTCCTTTAGATTTCTGCACTCATTTCTAACTTCCCTATAACGATCCCTTATCTCTCTATCTCTGAACCTCGGTCTGCCCTGGTCCTCTGCGGTTCTACGGCAGCAGGCTCCGATGGCATTCATTATGAGATGCTTCGCCATCTCCCTCCGTGCACGTCTCAGTATTTACTGAGTCTATACAATCGGATCTGGGAGTCGTCGTCAGTCCCTGAGGACTGGCTCGATGCCGTTGTCCTTCCTGTTCGAAAACCAGGGTCTCTGGGGACATCCCCTAAGGACTTTCGCCCTATTGCCCTCACGAGTTGTGTCTGCAAACTTTTTGAACGTATGGTTAACGTTCGTCTGATGTGGTTCTTGGAACACCATCACCATCTCTCCCCTTCTCAATTTGGTTTCCACAAGTGCCTCAGCACAACAGATGTCCTTGCGAACTTGGAAGTCTATATTCGTACTGCTTTTGCTGCGAAGACCTCCGTTGTTGCCGTCCTTTTTGACCTGGAAAAGGCTTACGACACCACTTGGCGATATCATGTGCTGTCCCAACTTCATTCTTTTGGCCTTCATGATAATCTCCCTCTCTTTCTCCAAAGTTTCCTCTCTCGTCGTTTCTTTCAGGTGAGGCTTGGTACCACTCTCTCTGCCTCTTTTCAGCAATACAAAGGTGTGCCCCAAGGTAGTGTTCTGAGCACTACTCTTTTTCTGGTTGCCCTCAATGATCTTCTTTCCTCTCTTCCTTCTGGCGTCTTCTCTGCTCTCTATGTCGACGATCTTACCCTTTGTGGTCGGGGTGATGATTCGCCTCTCCTTCAACGCCGGCTTCAACTTGTGATTGATGCCGTGTTGTCTTGGGCCACCGATCATGGCTTCAGGTTCTCTACGTCTAAGACTTGTGCGATGACTTTTATTCGGAAGCGTGTCATTCTTCGTCCTTCTTTGTCGCTTTATGGTCGCCCCATTGTATACAAGGATTCCGCTAAGCTTTTGGGGTTGATTTTTGACACTCGTTTGTCTTGGTCGCTCCATATCTCTTACCTCCAAGTTGAATGCTCTAAGGTCCTTACCCTCCTTCAGGTGTTGTCCCATACTTCTTGGGGAGCGGATAGGCACACTATCCTCGCTTTACATTTCTCTCTAGTCCTTTCTAAACTCGATTATGGTTGCCCTGCTTACTTGTCTGCTTCTCCTACTCTTTGCCGTCTTGATGCTTTGCACCATACTGGATTGCGCCTCAGTTCTGGTGTCTTTCTTTCGACTCCCATCCTCAGCTTGTACGTTGACACTGGCTTCCTATCTCTCCAGGATCGCCGTGATTGCTACTGTCTTCTCTATCTTGCAAGGTCCTTGCAACATCCTTCCTCTCGCCTCTGTTGTGCTTTAACTTTTACCCCTCCTATGGTTCCTGTTCCTCTTCACCACCTCCCTCTTTCTGTCCGGTTATCTCGCTTACAGGATTCTCTTTCAGTTCATAGTTCCCATATTTCTCCTCGTGTTGTTCCTTCTTGCCCCCGTGGAGAGTCCCCCTTCCGCAGTTTTGTACAGTACTTCCTTAACCTGCATCACTAAAGCTTTTACCCCTCCTACGGTTCTGAAACACCTTTTCCTCGAGCACTTTTCTTGACACTCGCGCTCCGTTTCCATCTTCACCGATGGGTCTAAGTCTGCGGACGGTGTGGGCTACTCTGTTGTTTTTCCTGACAGCACTTATATGTGTCGCTTATCTCTGGAGACTATCATCTTCACAGCGGAACTTTATGCTATTCTCTTCGTCTCCTGCTTTCTTGTTGTTAATCTTCCTTTGTAGTTGTCGTTGACTCTTGTAGTGCCCTCATGGCTCTCGGGTCCTTTAATCTGGTTCATCCAGTGGTTGTCGAGGTACAGCATTGGCTGTTTCTTATTCACAATAAATTTATGTCTGTTGAGTTCTGCTGGGTTCTCAGGCATATTGGCGTTTCTTTAAATGAGCGTGTGGATGCTGCCGGTAGGGAAGCTGTCTGCTCTTGTCCCATCTCTCGTAAAAGTATTCCTTATTCCGACTTTTACACAGTTATTCATTCCTCCATCCTTACCCATTGCCAGGCTTGTTGGTCTTCTGTTACTGATAACAAACTGCATACTCTTAAGAGTTGTGTGCCCTCGTGGTCGTCGTCCTACCACTGTAACCAGCGATGGGAGTATTGGAGTGAGTATTGGCCATACTCACTTAACTCATGGTCACTAATTGGAGCGCCGCTCTGCTCCTTATTGTCCAAATTGCATTGTTCCTCTTACAGTCGTGCATATCCTTGTTGAATGTCCTGACTTCCGGGATGGTTGTGTGTCTTGTTTTCCGACCATCTCCCGCGATCGCTTGTCCCTCGATAGAATTCTTGGTTAATCGGATACTTTTGATATCATTCGCCTTATGCGTTTCTGTTCTCGTATTGGCATCCTTGGTGATATTTAGCGCTCTCTGATTATTCCACACATTTGATGGTGCTACATAGCCTTCCCAGTTTAGTGCCTTCTTTTGATAATAACTTACTTCATTGAAACACACACTTTTTTTTTTTTTTTTTAAACTAGCTGTACTCGGCCATGCGATGCTGTGGCTCAGCAAGGCATGTGCGTTGCTGTGCAACAGCAACCTTTCCCTGTCTCTTAGTCCTCCCCATCATTCCCCCCTTCCCTGTCCCCCTAGTCCTCCCAACCATTCCTTACTACCCTGTTCCTTTGTCCTCCCCACCATCCTCCACTCCACCGTCCCCTCGTCCTCCTAATTGTCCCAACTCCACCTTCCCCTCGTCCTCCCTACCATTCCCCCTCCCTCGTCCTCTTGTCTTCCCCAACATCCCCACACTCCCCTGTCCTCCTCACCATTCTCCATTCCTCTCCCCTCGTTCCCTCCGTCCCCAACTCCCCATGCCCTCGTCCTTCCCACCATTCCCCACTCCCTCGTCTGATGCATTCCTAAATGGTCTGATGTTCCCATCAGAAAATTGGGAACATCAAATGATCTGATGTTTCCATCACTGAAATATAAGAAAAACAGTTAAAAAAATAAAATAGAAAACAATGAAAAAATAAAAAATAAACTATACAGTACTCGCAAAATGAATGGTATGGTAAACAACACGGCTTAATTCCAACACAATGTTACACAAAATAAATAAAAACAAAAATAAATTTATCTATGAAAATTCAATTTATCAATGAAATCAGAAACATTGAAATGGAATCGTAACATATTTAGTATAGCGTGTGTTGCACTTACATGAGACAGGTAAAAACACTTACGTGCAACAGATGGCGCTGTTTTAAAAAAAAAATGTTTTTACCTGTCATAGGTGTGGCATCTATACTTATACTCACGAAATGAACAGTATGGTAAACAACACAGCTCAATTCCAATGCAATGTCACACAAAATAATTAAATCAAATTGAAAATAAATAAAAATCTAGGAAAATTAAATTTGTCAGTGCAATTGGAAAAATTTAAATAGAATCATAACATAATTAGCATAGCATGTATTGCTTTTACGTGCAAAAGATGGCGCTGTTTTTAACCAAAAAATGTTTTTACCTGTCACGGGTGTGGCATCTATATTTATACTTACAAAATGACTGGTATGGTAAACAACACAGCTCGATTCTAACGCAGTGTCATACAAAATCAAAATGAAAAATAAAAAAATCAATAAATCAAAATGAAAACAAATCGAAATCTATGAAAATTAAATTTATCAATGCAGTCAGAAACATTGAAATAGAATCGTAACATATTTAGGATAATGTGTGTTGCTATTACGTGCAACAGATGGCGCTGTTTTTAACAAAAAAAAAATGTTTTTACCTGTCATAGGTGTGGCATCTATATAGTAGGTATATAAAAACATGCATGTATTCGAATGGAACGTTGTGTTAAAATTTCAAAGCAATCGGTGAAGAACTTTCTGAGATTGCAGCGTGTGTTGCTCTTATGTCCAACAGATGGCGCTTTTTTTTTTTTTAAAAAGCATGTTTTTTCCTGTCACAGGTGAGGCCTGTATATAGTAGTTATATAAAAACACACACCTATTCGAATGCAACGTTGTCAAAATTTCAAAGCAATCAGTACTGAGGTTTCAAAGATTTCCGTCACATGAAAAACACAGTTTTTAAAAAAAAAAAAAAAAAAATCCAGTCACAGACGTGACATCTATATAGTATGTACTGTATATAAAAACCCGCTCGGATGCGAATGGAACGTTGTGTGAAAATTTCAAAACAATCGGTGAAGAACTTTTGGAGATTAGCGATTTTGAACAAGTGAACATTTACATTTTTATTTATATAGATTGTAAGATGTCGGTCAAAAAATGGATATGATTATTATCAGTACTCTACTGTACATTTAAACTGCTTTATCAAATACATTTATATTTGGGCCCCTTGGAAAATGTTGTAATTGCCACCTG